CAGCATAATTTTGGACCCTAGGCAGCCTGCTAATTAATTGCAAGGCCTGACATTTATTTACTTATTTTTCTGACACTTAAATAATGTTTTAGAATTTAAAAACATTTTCATATTTCCGCTCTCATTTAATCCTTATAACATTCCCATAAAGTAGATAAAATATTATTATTTCTGTTTTACTGATATGGAAATTTGGGAATCAGAGAGGAACAATTAGCAAGTAGCCAGGATTAAATGCACATGTCTTCTGACTCCATGCTCTTTTCACTAGACTTTGCACACTTTCAAGTGAACTGTATGTTTTCAGTTCTTAAGCCAACTGAATCCTTTCTTTGTCAGCATATGGTCACGAAAAAAATGCCAATTGGGGGGAAATTAGTACAATTTATGGGAAATGAAAAACCTCTGGAGGCATTCCCCATAAGCTTCTCCTTCCCTCTACCTACACTGGAGGTGTGCTCAGTGGGTGAATGGGAAATGAAGCAACAGCAGGGACCAAGAGGAGAAGCAGGATGTACAATGAAATAAGCTTAGGGTCTGGTCTCTCTAGCAAGTTCCACTCAACTTGCAAAAGCTTCTGGTCAGGGACCAGCCCAGCTAGAGAAAATAATCCACAACAATAACTAGTATCACACTTCTAATATAGCAAAGGAAATTTTTAAAAGCTTGATACAGGCCACTGGGGAAAGTTGTGTGTTTTAGGATCTAAAATTTGGCCTAATCTTTCTCTGAAACAATGTGTCTCCTGAGTCTATGCCTCCTTTGCAGTTGACTTCAATCCCTCATTACCTTTCATCTAGCCAACCAGAATAGCCTCCTAACTTGTTTCTATGCCTCCAACTTTCCCTCCTTTCAGTCCACCTCCCACACTATCACCAATGCAATCTTCAAATGTCAAGTCCTCTGGGAATCTTCCTTGGTCCCTCCCACCCTAGCTGTTTTAGAATTAATGCCTCCCTCCTATGCTCTAACAGCACTTCTCTGAACTATGATGCATCTCCCCAGGGATACTGTAAACTCCCCAAGGCAGCGGTATTGTCTGCACACAGTCTAAAGTCTTAGAGGTAGAAGATGTTTAATAAATGTTTATCAAATGGAGCCAGTTATGCTTTATTTCTGCCCTTAAAATCTACCTTCTTAGGGAAGCAGGATGTTCAGTGGGGAACAACAAGTAACATCTCTGCAAAAGGCACTCATATTTCATGGTCTCCCAATGTGTCACCTGCTCCCACTAGCTGAGGACAGTTCTGAACACAGAGGGGCCTGGAGAAGTAAACTCAACCACATCACTTGAGTGACTGTATGATCACCTCTAGTCACTCTGCTGACCACAAGGCAGGCGAGAAAGTGACCAACACCTTCTGCTCTTCCCTCAAAAAATTTAAAATTCTCCACGGAGAAGTGCACAAGTGTCAGGTTTCTTTGTCTTGTCCCAAAAGCTCCCAGTTTATGTGTACCAGCTGCTGCGCTAGTGTGCTACCAAAAGAGGAAATGGGAAGATGAGGAATCTTTCTCATTTCAACCCTTCAAAACCAAAAGGAAAAAAGAAGTCACCTCAAAAATACTCCCTTGCCCCATTTGCTATAAAAAGAGTTTGTTCTGTGACCAACGTACTGCTGATCAGTATTTGTGAACCATTAAGTTTCCCTTTGTTAACAGGAAGGTTATTTGAGATCTGATGTTCCCTCAGAGCTGGAGATCCTTCCAGGCCCAGATCTCATGTTACCACAGTTTTCTCAACTCTAAAATGAGTTGAAGCACAACAGAGACCTAGCCCAAGTACTTCATCAAATAACAAACCAGGCCCAAAGAACACGTGTGATGCAGAGAACTTCATACCAACACTGCTGCTTCTCTTTCCAGCTCTTTCCTATTACTATTCCAATTCTGACAATGTGTCGAATATCAATCCATGATCCTACCACCTTTCATGGTCTTCCACTCCCTCGATGCCCTCCCCCCTCCTTCCTTACCCAACTCAAAGCCATGATCAACCATTCTAACGCTTTCCTGCATAAACCCTCAACTCCCTTGACCCTTTCACGCTTTGTTGAACTTTCTTGGCTAAAACCCAACCCTGCACACAAAGACTGCACACGAATGTTCATAGTGGCATTATTCACAATAGCCAAAAAGTGGAAACAACTCAGATGTCCACCAACTGGTGAAGGGATAAACAAAATGGATATATCCATACAATGGAATAGTATTCAGCAATAAAAAGGACAACTACTGATACATGCTATAACATGAATGAACCTCAAAAACATGCTAAGTGAAAGAAGTCAGACATAGAACCCCAAGTATTATATGATTCCATTTATATGAAAAGTTCAGAAAAGACAAATCTATAGAAATAGAAAGTAAATGAGTGGTTCCCTGGAGCTGGGGGAGGAATGAGGGATCTTACTGGGGTGATGGAAATGTTCTAAAATTGAATTCTGGTGATGGTTGCACAACTTGGTAAATTTACTAATAATTATCAAATTGTACACTTAAAATGGGTGAATTTAATGGTATATAAATTATACTTCAATAAAGTTGTTTTTAAAAAAACCCCAACTCTGGTTAAATTCACCTGTTTTGTGACTCACCAGTACAGCTATATACACCTGGAGAAGAAAAATGCAACCACACTGGACCCACTTAAAACTGAACTGGGTTATGGATCCTGTCCTCCAAGCATACTATATTTCTCGAGCTTCTTTTTTCTCCTACTCTCCTCAATTATTTTACAACTTCTCCCTCCTTAAATCTCCAACACCTCATCCCCTATACGCCCTTCCCATCTGACAATCCTACTTCCTACTTCACAGAGAAAACTGAGGGCATCAGAAGAGAACTTGCAGATTCCCATCATCACACCTACCTGCTGCCTGTTACTATTCTGCTCTGTCTAGTAGTTATGTATGGCTATTTAAATTAATTAAGATTAAATACATAAAATTAAAAATTCAGTTCCTCAGTCATACTAGTCACATTTCAAATGTTTTAATAGCTACAAGTGGCTTGCGGCTCCTATACTGGATAATTCAGATATAAAACATCTCCATCACTGCAGAAAGTTCTATGGGGCAGTGCAGTACAGAGATGATCTATCTGTATGTCTATTTAAAACACATCTTTTACTTACTTGTGCATCTCCTCGCACCTAACTCAAGGGCATTGCTCTAGCAATACTTTCCTCTCTCCTGCATGATCAGTTTTCAGCTCTATAAGGGATCATTTCCATCAGTATACAAACATGACTGTTATTTCCCTCATCTTAAAAAAATAAAAGAGGAACAGTTTGGGGTGATGAAAAAGTTTTGGAAATAGATAATGGTATTTTCAACACAAAAAAGAAATGATATATATGTGACATGATGATGGTGTTAGCTAATACTACTGTGGTAATCATATTGCAATACACAAGTGTATCAAACCAACATGTTGTACACCTTAAACTTATACAATGTTATATATCAATTGTATCTCAATTTAAAAAAAAGATGATGGTAATGGTGGCATGACATTGTAAACGAAATTAATGCCACTGAATTGTACATTTAAAATGGTTAAAATGGCAAATTTTATGTTATATATATGCTGCAATAAAAAAAAATTTTTTAAAGGACAAAAATCTTCTCTAGTCATCATTTCCCTGCACCCACCAGCAGCCATTGTCCTATTTCTCTGCTTCCCTTTATAGCAAAACTCCTCAAAAGACTTGTCTACATTTGCCCTCTCCAATTCTTGTCTTACTATTTTTGCTTTGACCCCTCTAATCCCTCAAGTCCCTATGCTCCCACCACTCCACCAAAATGGCTATCAGCTGCCAAATCCAATGGACAGTTGTTACGCTTCATCTTACTCGATTTATCAGCAGCTTCTGACCACGCCCTCCTACTGAAAACATTTTCTTCCCTGTTTCTGAGTCCCAGACCCGCCTCTCAAGACCTGGTCCTCTACTTTTCCTTTCTGTCTGACCTTTTGGATCCTGGGCTCTGCCCCCAGGCCTCCCTGGATCTCCTTAACTTCAACTATCTGTTTACCTGGACCTCTGCCCAAAGACAACCTGACCCCTCCAACTCATCCCCCATTACTCCTTCACCTGAACATGCTGACTCCCCTATTTTTGTTAATTCTGAGAACTTTCTGAAGAGCCAGCCAAGCCCTGGTCTAGTTGGTCTCTCTATTTAAGATCTAGTAAGGCCTGTCCCATCTCTGACTGAGCCTTGAGCCCAAAAATAATGGATACAAACTTCTAGCTCCTTAAAGGACACAGTCAATCTTCCTAACAGTGTTAGAATACTCTCAGTTAAGATAGCTAAAGTTAGTTGCCAAAACTTATCTGTGTTTTCTTCAGTGGATTTGTTTTACTTAGATTCTTTCATTTGGATGATACCAAAATATACTGTGGAAATTAATAAACAGAAACCTCATTAAAATGGAGTTGGGAGGCCAAAAGGGGGAGCTCCTACGCCCTGCGGCAATAGCAGAGCCCAACAGGAAGAAGAAAGCGTTCCTCTTCTTGACTGGCAAGAAGCTTAGCCAATGAGAGACTGCCGCAACTCAGCTAATGAAAAGCCACTACATTTCGAACTACCAGTCTCCTCCAATGGACTCTTTGTTTACAACAGCCCTCTCAACTTCCTCTTCACCTCTATAAAGCATTTCTCCTCCACCTGCTGCTCAGCACTTGCATATGGCTCACCACGGCTGCAGACACCTAATTGCAATTCTTTACTGATCCTGAATAAATCCATTTTTCCTGGAGAAATAACTGGCTATTTGTTTAAGATCAACAAATATTTTGCATTCTGGTGCCTAGAAAAAAGAGGAGCACTCTTTTAGATTTCACAGGAAACTGGACAAGAATAGAAGATGTGTTTGGACCCAAATAAGAATAAAAAAGGATAGCTACTAAAATCAGCCCAGGACTGGAAGTTATCCAATCCTAGATTCTAATTTTCGCCCTTACTAGTCCTAGTACATCTCCTAGAATTAAAGCCACATACCTAGAAGCATCAAGGAACGGTCTGTAGGCTAAGCTGATCCATTCTTCTCTATTGGATGAATATTTCGGCTCCCAGGGTGTTTCTCTCATGGTATCCAAATCCACTAAATAATGGCATTTACTGATGTCAATCTGCAATGGAGAAAGGCCAACTCTTCATTAGTAATTGCAAAAGTTCTTTCAGGGTAAGGAACATCAACTGCAATCCTAAGAATTCCCATAGGGTTTTAGAAGCACAAACATCCAAGTCCTTGGACAATGTTACTTGTGCTCTCTCCACTCAGATAAGAGTGTTGGGTGTTGGGTAGGCTCCTGGGGAGATGGGGGAGGGCATGCACTCTCCCAGCCAAATATATATGTAAGCTTTGGGAGTTTTGATTCTAGTTTGGGTATTAAGTCCCTCTAGCCTCACAGACACTTCTGAAGCTAGCACAAGTCCACAACCCACTCAAAAAACTATCTTCTTCTGCTCACTATTGCTCCCTTCCAAGGTATCGCCTCTTATCCAGAGATTGAAAGGGCATGACTAAACACAAATGCTAATGCGAGAGGAAGCCCTATCTCGGCTGACAGAGCCACGTGAGGTTACCCTACACCTCGCAAATGGTCCAGAAATATGCGTAGTGTCTCCTTCAAAAACTCAACAGAACTGAGAGGGACATGGAAACTGTCCCTGCAGCGAAAGAGCAGAAAAACTGAGATATCAGAACTGCAAAAGAGGAAGAGATTATGAAAAATATATAGTAACTATCAGCAAAACTATAGTCATCTAGTTGCTCTGGATATACCAGAGCATCACAGATGCTCAAAAGGGAATATTAATACATTTCATTTAAAACCATGTTTGTACTGTGCTTCTCACAAAATTGATTAATTCAATGGAATATGCCACAAAGTCTTCAGGATACTTCTGTGGTTAAATAGTCCATTTCAGACGATAATTATATTCTTCTTCTCATCTCAAAGCTATGAGAATATTTAACAGCCACGGGGAAAAATTTTAAGCCTCTTTAAAAAAAATAAAGAAAATACACAAGTTTCTATGAAGTTAAATAAAAAGCCAAAGATGGAAAATATCACTATGATATTGTGATCTATAATAAATATATATTTTGGTCTTGGTCCACAGTTCCTGGCTCACAGCTCCCAAAACCCTTGTAACCTACTAAGCATAGGAGCAATGGGAGCATCTTTTGTGATAATCTTTGGTCTCTTGTCCTCAGTTCCTGAAATTCCTTCAAAGCCATAAAGGTAAAAGGGGTGTCTTGTTATTCATAATAAGCCCCTTTCAATCACAACTTCGTTTATGTTAATGAGGTGACTTTTGGAAAGGACCTAAGGTTGGGGGCTGGTTGCCAAGAGAACCATGTGATTAGAGGGCTAGAACTCTGGGGGAGTGGGGAGGGGCTGGAGATTGAATTCAATCACCAATGGCCAATGATTTAATCAATTATGCCTGGGTAATGAAACCTCCATAAAAACCCAAAAGGACGAGATTCAGAGAGCTTCCGGGTTGGTGAACACCTGGAGATTCAGGGAGAGTGGTGCCGCTGGGAGAGGGCATGGAAGATCCAAACACTTTCCCCATACCTTGCCCTATACATCTCTTCCATCTGACTGTTCCTGAGTTAAACTCTTTTATAATAAATGAGTAATCTAGTAAGTAAAATGTTTCTCTGAGTTCTGTGAGCTGCTCTAGCAAATTAATCGAACCTAACAAGGGGCTCATGGGAACCTCTGATTTATAGGCAGTTGGTCAGAAGTACAGCTAACAACTTAGACTTGCAATTGCTATCTGAAGCCCAAGGAGGGGATCATGGGAACCTCCAATCTATAGCCAGTGAGTCAGAAGCCTAGGTAAGAACTTGGGCTTGCGACTGCCATCTGAAGTAGGGGGCTAGGAGGTGCAGTCTTGTAGGATTGAGCCCTCAACCCGTGGAATATGATGCTATCTCTGGGTAAACAGTGTCAGAATTGAGTTGAATTGTAGGACACCTAGCTGGTGTCTGAGAATTGTTGTTACTGTGGGGAACACCCTGCCATTGGAAATTGGGTCCCTGAACCCTCTTAATCACTAATGTAGTCAGCTAAAGAAAAGTAAACCTCAACGGAAGGGAACTATTATTTTTCACTGTTTTTTACATGTCAACTGTGTTACATAATTATTTTAAAAATTATCATATCGAGGCCTATAAGGGATTATTAATCTCTATTTTATAAATGAGAAAGTCAAGACTCAGACAAATTAAATAACTTCATTTTTTTCAAGATATAAATATTATACCCCCATGATGTACTAGGCATTAAGTTAGAGCTAATGATACAGAATCAAATAAATAAGACATGGTCCTTGCCCAAAATGGATTTATAATCCTAACCAAAATCACGTGAGTATATAGCAGAGCTATATTTTGACCCAGGTCAGCATGACTTCAAAAGTCATACATTAAGACTGCCAAAACTGACCGAAACAGGCAAAATGCTCTCCGGGGCTCATCTAAATGTTTCTTAAAAATTAAACCCAAAAAACCGTCCTCCTAGAATGCCAGGTTTCAGCTAAAATAAAGACCATTTGAAACATGAATAGATCTATAGCAAATCTCATATTTAATGGTGAAGAGTTGAAAGCTTTTCCTTTGGGATCAGGAATACGTCAGGGCTGCTTGTTATCACCATTCTATTCAACACTGTACTAGAGGTTCTAGTCAGCAGGGTAAGATAAGAGAAAGAAACAAATGGCAGACGAAATAGAAAGAAACAAAACATTTATCACAATGATATGATTGGTATATATAAAATTCAAAAGAATCAACTTATAAATTTTTGGAATTAAGAGAGTTTATCACACTTTAGACTTATAGGATGTAAAATCAATGTCATACATTCCTATAAAACAGCAGTAAACAATACATAATATATATTTTTAATTATGTATTTTCAAATTATATTATAAAAATATTATTTACAAGGATTTGAAAATGTGTGCCTTGAAATAAATCTGACAAAATACGGGAAACTCATCTATAAAAAATTATAGAATTTTATTGACAAATGCCTACCAACTGATGAATTTATAATGTGCTATATTCATATAATTAAAATGTAGTAGATGCAGGCAATGGAATATTATTAGTCTTAAAAAGGATACAAACTACAACACAGATGAGCTTAAAAATATTATGTTAAGTGAAAGAAGCTAGAAACAAAAGACCATACACTGTGTGATTCCATTTATATGAAATGTCCAGAATAGGCAAATCCATTGAGACAGAAAGCAGATTAGTGGTTGATCAGAATTGGGGGAGTGACTGCTTAATGGGTATGGGGTTTTTTGGAGGAGTGATGAAAATGTTTTGAAATTAGATAGTGGTGTTGGTTGCACAACATTATGAATGTACTAAAAACCACTGAATAGTACACTTTGAAATTACTGATTACCATAAGATCCGGGAACTTCATTTCTAGGTATATACCCCAAAGAATTGAAAGCAAGGACTCAAAACAGATTTTTGTATCTCAATATTCATAGCAGCATTATTCACAACAGACAAAAGGTGGAAACAACCCAAATGTCCATCAATGGATGAATGGATAAACAAAATGTTTGTTTAATAAGTACTGAGTTTCAGCTTGGGATGATGAAAAAGTTCTGGAGATAGACAGTGATGATGGTTGTACAACAGTGTGAATGTACTTAATGCCACTGAATTGTCTATCTAAAAATGGTTAAAATGGTAAATTTTATCACAATAATTAAAAATCGTTGAAATGATGAATTTTATCTCAAAATTTTTTGTTAGACAATAAAGTATACCTTATTAAATGGAGAGATAAACCTTATTCCTAGATTAAAGACTCACTATTACAAAGATGTAAATTCTAAATAAATGAACTGATAGATTAAACGCAATCTCAATAAAAATCCCAACAGACTTTTTTGTAAAACTTGACAAGCTGATTCTAAAGTATACACGGAAATGCAGAAGCAAAGGCAGTCTTAGAAAAGAAGAACAAGGAAGGTGGGGGGCTTATTTCCTATAAAGTTAAAGTAAGACAATGAGGTATCAGTGCAGGAATAGAGCAACAGACCAGTGAACAGAACAGAACCTAGAACAGATGCAGGCACATGTGGACCCTGATTTATGACAAAAGTGACACCTCAGAGTAGTGGGGAGAAGATGGTCTCTTCACTAACTAGTGCTGGGACAACTGGATATCCTCTGGGGGAAAAGTGAAATTGGACCTCAATCTCACTCCATACACAAAAATCAACTTCAGATGCATTACAGAACTAAATGTAAAAAGTAAAACAATAAAGCTCTTAGAAGATAATATGGAAGAATATCTTCACAATTTTATGGTAAACATTTTTTTAGACAAGACACAAAAAGCATTAACTATAAAAGAAATGATGGATAAATTTGACTACGTTAAAATTAGGAATATCTATTCATCAAGACACCATTAAAAGAGCGAAGAGATGAGCCAGACAATGGGAGAAGATATATGTGCACATTTAACAATAAAGGATTCATATCTAGAATATACAAAGAACACCTGCTGATAAGACAAAAACCATCTGATAGAAAAATGGGCAAAGACTTGAATAGGTACTTCATAAAGAGAAATCTAAATGACCAAAAACAAATGAAAAAGTGCTCAACCTCATCAGCAACCAAGGAAATGCAAATTAAAACCACAAAGAGGGGCCGGCCCTGTGGCTTAGCGGTTAAGTGCGCGTGCTCCGCTGCTGGCAGCCTGGGTTGGGATCCCAGGCGCACACCGCTTCTCCGGCCATGCTGAGGCTGCGTCCCACATACAGCAACTAGAAGGATGTGCAGCTATGACATACAACTATCTACTGGGGCTTTGGGCGGAAAGAATAAATAAATAAAATCTTTAAAACCACAAAGAAAAACTATAATACCAAGTGTTGGCCAGAATGTAGAGCAACTCTTACACATTGCTGGTAGGAGTTTAAGTTGGTACGAGATTGTTAGAAAACTATTTGGCAGAATCTACTAAAAATAAACATATGGGGCCGGCCCCGTGGCTTAGCGGTTAAATGTGTGCGCTCCGCTGCTGGTGGCCTGGGTTCGGATCCCGGGCGCACACCGACGCACCGCTTCTCC